TAAAATAAAATAAAAACCTCAGTTAATTTCGCCTAAACGGCTGAAGAAGCAAATGGCTAATCGTGCGGAACGGTTTGATCAGCCGAAGCTCCGTTTCACTGTTCACCAGCTTACTCTGCAATTCCAGTTCCAGGCATTATTCTATCAACCCTAACTCTTTCCTTTACCTCCATTCCAGTTTTCCATTTCACTCGTAGTTTCTGCTTGAAATGTATTTTGTTCTCAATTTTACCCATAAAATTCGAGAAACTTTAACTGGACCTTGCAAATATTTTAGGCTTTTCCAGTTTCATAGATGTAGTTGTTGCAGTGGGTTTGGTTTTGCTGCAAAAGATGTTTCTTTTAGACCCACGAGCCTTATTTGGGAATGCCCATTTGGTTGCTTTGGAGTAAGTTCTCCATTGTTGTCGGCATGTAGTTTTAGCTCCCGTTATCATTCAGGCACCAGGTCTAAGTTGCCCAGATTGGAAATAGATGATTTTGATGATAGAAAGTATATGAATGACAAATTTCGGCAGGTGGGAATTAAGGGTTCTGAGAATTTGACCTTAATTGGCAGTCTACTGAATCAAAACCCTAGCTTTGATGACTGTGATGAGTCTGAAGAGTCCGATGAAGAAGAAGAAGAAGGTGGGGATGGTAGTGATATTGATGATAATTTTACAGTATTGAATTCCTTTAAAAGGAATCAGATACAAAGAGAGGATGTTTGTAGAGTTGAGTTGGAGGAAGATGAATTTAGACACCCCTTAGTGAAAGAGGTTTGTAGGTTAATTGAACGTAGGTCAGCGTGGAACCCAAAGCTTGAAGGGCAATTGAGGAACCTTCTAAGAAGTCTCAAACCTCGCCTAGTTTGTGCTGTTTTGCGCTCACAAGCTGATGAACGAGTGGCTTTGGATTTCTTCTACTGGGCTGATCGACAATGGCGCTACCGTCATGACCCAATTGTGTATTATGTAATGCTTGAAGTTCTTAGTAAGACTAAATTGTGTCAAGGTGCCAAACGAGTTCTTCGGCTCATGGCACGTCGAGGACTTGCTTGTTGGCCTGAAGCATTTGGTTATGTAATGGTGTCATATAGTAGGGCTGGAAAGTTGAGGAATGCATTGAAGGTTTTGACCATGATGCAGAAGGCTGGAGTTGATCTGAATTTGACGATTTGTAATACTGCAGTTCATGTTTTGGTCATGGCAAATAGGTTGGAAAAGGCACTGCAATTCTGTGAACGAATGCAAATTGTTGGAATTACTCCTAATGTTGTCACTTATAACTGCTTGATCAAGGGATATTGTAATGTTCATCGGGTTGATGATGCAAAGGAGTTAATTGCTGAAATGCCATTTAAAGGATGTTTACCAGATAAAGTTAGTTACTATACCATAATTGGTTTCCTATGTAAGGAGAAAAGGGTGAAAGAAGTGAGGGATTTAATAGAGAAGATGGTGCAAGAAAGTAGTTTGTCTCTAGACCAGGTTACATATAACACTCTTATCCATATGCTGTCCAAGCATGGGCATGCAGATGAGGCTCTTAACTTTTTAAGGGAAGCTGAAGCGAGAGGATTCCAGATTGATAAGGTTGGCCATAGTGCAATAGTTCACTCATTGTGCAAAAAGGAATTGATAGATAAGGCAAAAGGTCTTGTGAATGAAATGCTATCGAAGGGTTGCATCCCTGATGTAGTGACTTACACTTCTGTTGTTGATGGGTTTTGTAGGGTAGGGAAGTTGGACCAAGCTAAAAAGATGCTTCAGCAGATGTGCAAGCATGGCTGCAAGCCAAATGCTGTATCATATACAGCACTGCTACATGGGCTTTGTAAGAACGGAAACTCATCAGAGGCAAGAGAGATGATGAACATGAGTGAGGAAGAGTGGTGGACTCCAAATGCTATCACTTATAGTGTTGTTATGCATGGGCTACGCAAGGAAGGGAAATTATCTGAGGCTTGTGATGTTGTGAGGGAGATGGTTAGAAAGGGATTTTTCCCAACCTCAGTTGAAATTAACTTACTAATTCAGTCATTATGCCATAAGGGAGAAATGAATGAGGCCAAAAAATTCATGGAGGAGTGCCTAAACAATGGGTGTGCTGTTAATGTTGTAAATTTTACAACTCTTATTCATGGGTTTTGTCAGAAAGATGACTTAGATGCTGCTTTGTCATTGCTTGATGACATGTATCTGAGCAACAAACACCCTGATGCAGTCACATATACAACAGTAATTGATGCACTTGGAAAGAATGGTAGAATAGAGGATGCAACTAATTTTACAATGAAGATGGTAAAGAAAGGTTTGATTCCTACTCCTGTTACTTATAGGACTGTCATCCACAGGTATTGCCAAATGGGTAGGGTGGAAGATCTGTTGAAGTTATTAGAAACCATGCTTTCAAGGCAAAAGTGTAGAACAGCCTACAATCAAGTTATTGAGAAGCTTTGTAGTTTTGGAAACCCTGAGGAGGCTGAGAAGCTCTTAGGTAAGGTTTTGAAAACAGCTTCAAGAACTGATGCAAACACATGCCACATGCTTATGAAGAGTTATTTGAACAAAGGGGTTCCTCTATCAGCATATAAAGTAGCTTGTTGTATGTTCAACCGAAATCTTATTCCTGATTTGAAGTTATGTGAGAAGGTGAGTGAGAGACTTAAATTAGAAGGAAAATTGGGAGAAGCAGATAACCTTATGTTACGGTTTGTGGAGCGTGGATGTCTTCTGCCTCAGTGTGAATAATTTTTGTGAAGATAGTTAGGGTTATTCTATCTCAAACTGCTGTAGATACTGCTGCAATTCCCCACCAACCTTCCCCTGACATTAGAAGCTCTATCTTCAAAGTTCAGAGCCTTGAAATAACTAAATCCATGTTCCCTCCCCACAACTTATGTGAGTTTAATGTAAACCATTCTTTTTAGATTCTGTTTCTAGTTGCAAATAATTTATTATGTTTACTTTCCTTAGATTGCTTTGAGATCTTTTGTTGTTGTGTTAGATGTTACTCAATTTTTTTTTTCACATTTCGTAATGGTAATAGAACATTGTTTTGAGCATTCTATGGTTTGAATGAATATATTTTAGTTCTTTTTGTTAAAACGTTTTGTCAATTAAATGCTGCAAGTGTCAACTTCTAATTTTTAACACCCCCCCCCGCCCAAAAAAAAAAAAAAACCAAAATAATTGTGACCTTTTCCTTTTATTATGTTATTTCTCAAGTGCTAAGAACGTGAGATTAGACAACTGACAAGATATGTTCATCTGAGAAATTGTCATATTAATAAAACAGAAGATGATGTATTATTTCAGTAAATTTGTGCATATATAATCAAATTTCAATTTTGAATTAAATTTTATCTAACGAACCCCACCTATTGTTTACAACCACTGATTGTAGGGCATGTTAGTCATAAATTGATTCCAATATATCATTTCTGGGTACAATGGAATTTGTACACAGGGGAACTAGGAAGAAGCCCTGTACCCAAAACAATCGGGAAAGATCAAAAAACATGGTAAAAACGCGTAGGAGCCTGGAATGAAAAGGGTGGGGGCTCTAGCTTGCTTTTGCTTTTGCTTTTGCATTTGCAATTTAGCATTCATAGATCAAAAGGGTATCTCACTCTGAAAGACACCATGTAGAAACTTCTAAAATGCCAGACCATCTCAGCCGATATTATCTTCTTCAATGTCTTCTGATGTATTTATCTGTTCATTCTCTAGTGACTCACATTTTAACTTTGTAAAGCATTTTCTTATGAATTCTGCCGTTCATTAGGTACTGAAATCTTTCCTTCTCCATGGGATAAATGTCTAATTCATCCTTCTATCATTCTATCGTATCACCTTCTTTATTATCCTTATATGAGATATTTTCCTTCTATTATTCTATGTTATCACCTTCTTTATTTTCTTGACATGAGATATTTTGGGTTTGAGATATTTCGGGTGTGAGATATTTCGGTAGGGACTCGAAGAACGCTCAGCTGCTTCTGCATGCTTGGCATTTGAGGAACATGAAATAGATACCTGGATCCAGCTTTCGTTATTAAATAAAAGTGCATGAAAAATCTCATGGTGCATTACATCTAATATCGCCTAATGATGTTCCGATCTTTCTTGACGTTCCCTCCTGCTGCATTTGGCCAATTCCCATTGTCCTCTCTTGAATACCCCAATCTAATGTTGCCAAATGATGGTCAGATTTTGATTGATGTTCCAACCTGCTGTATTTTGGCCAAATTTAGGCCTGCACATTCAGTTAGTTATACTGAATTTCTTGGTACATCAAAACATGAATTATCGAATGGGAGAACAGTCCTAATATCTTCGGACTTGCTAGTCCTTTAATAGTTTAAATTGGGTACACTACTTTTTTCTGTTATTTTTTATACCAAAATTCTTTGTAGATCAGATTTTTACACCAAACCAATGACCAAATTTTCAGTCCAGACAGTTGGTATTTTGGTACGTACCAAAATGCACCCACCCCTATGGCCAATTCCCATTGTCCTCTTCTGAACGTGTTAACATTTACATGATTGTGCATGTCATTCCATTATGCAACGAACATAATCATATATGGGTGTAATTCCAGAAGATGCGTGCAGTTTGAACTGTAAATTGATTTCCACCCCTTTAAAATAAGTTTTGGACGGTACAGAAAAATCACCAAAAATAATTTCTTTTCTTCATCTCTAATCATCATCCTACAGCTCCGCATTTTTTTTACACGTCCACTGTTCCGTCACTTTTTGCTGTTTTGGACCACATGATAAATAATTGGACAGTGATTAATAAATATTTTGGTTCAATATATTAAATAA